TAGTAAGGCACTTGTTCCTAGTAGCGATGCCCTTGTTACTAGTAGCTTCTCGTTACTACTAGTAATGCCAGGAGCTACTAGTAGCGTCTTGTTACTACTAGTAAGGCACTTGTTCCTAAATAGCGATGCCCTTGTTACTAGTAGCTTCTTGTTACTACTAGTAAGGCACTTCTTCCTAGTAGCGATGCCCTTGTTACTAGTAGCTTCTTGTTACTACTAGTAATGCCTGGAGCTACTAATAGCTTCTTGTTACTACTAGTAAGGCACTTGTTCCTAGTAGCGATGCCCTTGTTACTACTAGCTTCTTGTTACTACTAGTAATGCCAGGAGCTACTAGTAGCTTCTTGTTACTACTAGTAAGGCACTTGTTCCTAGTAGCGATGCCCTTGTTACTAGTAGCTTCTTGTTACTACTAGTAATGCCAGGAGCTACTAGTAGCTTCTTGTTACTACTAGTAAGGCACTTGTTCCTAGTAGCGAAGTAGCGTCTTGTTACTACTAGTAATGCCAGGAGCTACTAGTAGCGATGCCCTTGTTACTAGTAGCTTCTTGTTACTACTAGTAATGCCAGGAGCTACTAGTAGCGTCCTTGTTCCTAGTAGGGATGCCAGGAGCCCCTAGTAGCGTCCTTGGTTTGTTTGGGAAAAAAAAGAGTTTTGCGGGGTCTTACGGTTCTACGGTGTTCTTTCTCAACAAGATGGCCGACCCTTTGGCAGGGGGATACGCTTTTCAAGAACTGCTGGGCAGTGGATGACTCCTTTCTGCAAGTGGAGCAAATCTGGACATACCTGAATTGGCAGCCTCTGTGATGTTGGCAGCCTATCGTCTGCAGCGTCTGTGTTACGGTCTGAGTCTGACCAGTTTTCCTGTACCGTCCGCTACCGTCCAGTCCCGTACCGACCTTGTTGCGTGGACACCAAATGAGTCTACATCTGTGACGTCCGCGTCCGCGTCGCGTCGGTCGCCTTGAGGGTCTCCAAGCTCTTCAGCAATGCCCTGCGACAGCTCTTGGGTAGCTCAAGGTCTTCAGCGAGTCCAACACTTTGTGAGTTGTAACATGTTGTGACTCAAACGTCTGAAGCTAGATGAAGCTGGAAATCGTCAACCATGCCCATAATAATTGGATTCGATGTTCCATGGCCCCTGCATCAAACCAACGCTTATACCATAAGGTCGAAAAAAAAAAAAAAAAAAAAACTCAAGTATCATGGAAATTCCGCGTTCCAAAAAGCGGACCGTTAGCCCAACAAGGGGTCGTGCACATCGGTCGTTTGGGCCTGGACATCCTTCAGGTTCTCCTTCGCGCCCTTTGTATCCTTCTCTTGCAAGCACACTTGGACCTGGGTGTGACGGATTGAGGGCAAAACTGTAAAATTTGGGTTAAGAAATTGCCTCAAATTCGCGCCAGGGCTCCCAATCAGCAAAGAGCCAACGGCACCATGGTCTACTGTTGGGAGGGTGCAGTACACAAACTTGCTCCTCAACGTACGAACAAATGACACATGAGGAGCCCAAAGGTGCAGTTGAAGTAGGCAGGTGCAGTTGAAGTAGGCATTTGAAGGATTAAAACCCCACAGGGTGCACCCAGAAACTGGAAGTCCTCTTCTCTGAGCTAGGACCTGTTGGATACTTTTTTGGACCGAAACAAGTCGCTGCTTGGGCTGCCCCGCCATCAGTCCTCGCGCATAGAGTTCGCTAAGCCTTGAGCTGGGAGGCAGGGGGCAAGTTGGTTGGCTAGTGGATGTGTTCAGGTTAGATCGGTTAGATGATGAATGTGGGGGCGAACAGCTTTAAGGCATGCAAGCCCAAACAAGAGTATTTACCGAATTTTTGAGTCTTTGAATTGTCCGATGTTTGACATTTGTCATGCTGCAGGCCTGCAGTAGGCATCTTGAGATGGGTAATCGGCTAGTAATCGGTAACCCCTTGCCATTCACCATCATGTTGCTTTCCAATTGGGGGTTTAACTTGGACATCCACAAAAGGCCCAAAGGCTTACGCTTTGAACACTTCTGCCACAAGGTGACCAAGCCACCAAGCCGGGGCCCATTTGGGCGTCTCAGCCAACTGCCGTCTGTCTTCGGGCAGGTCGCAGGTCACATGATGTCACTTGTCACATGGCCATAGAATGTCCAACTGCTTTATGACACGGTCACATTTCTTGCTCCTAGTAGTAAGGCCAGGAGCCCCTAGTAGCGTCCTTGCTCCTAGTAGCGATGCCCTTTGCTCCTAGTAGCGTCCTGTCC